TCCGATACGGCGCAGGAATGGAGGAGCAGAACGAATCTGCTTAAATAGTGAAATGCCGTCACAACACTGCGGATAGGTCGGACCGGGTCGAAAGGGATCCAGGCACCGCTGGGAAGGAAATAATTGTGCCCCTTCTGATCAACAAGGCGTTTCTCTTTGTCCTTCTGGAGTGCATGACAGTGGGCCGTCCCGTGGCCTTTACAATGACAATAATAACAGATCAGTGGTCGACGAACTGTGTTGGCTGAGGCAGAGGCAGAAGAAAGATTTTCCGAGATCTCTGTAGAAAGATCATTGTTGATCGGGGAAGTGACTGGATTAAGTGCAAGGATCGGTCTAGCAGCGGTGACTTCAGCAGGGCTTGGATCTTCAGTTGATTGCTCAAACAACTCGGGATTGTCGTCCATGTCTTCTTGATCTGAATCAGGAACTGGAAGTGTAGAATCTTTGACCGAAGGAAGCAAAACAGAGAGCACTGCGGATGACTTGAGGTTTTCACACTGCCTTCGGGAGGGATTGGATTTGTTGATTCTAGAAGCCAATGGGTATTCAATGACAGAGGCAGCCGTAAAATCCAAACTGGCCTTTGTGGGATGCCAAGCAGGTTCTCTCGTCTTAATCGATTCATTACGGTCCTGTTCGCTAGATTGTCAAAAAGCTCCGGCCCAACATCCAGATCTACAAAATTCGAATCAGATTCTAAAGCCTCCTCAACTAGTAGATCGTTATGAGAACCCAATGGGAGGCCGCGCTCAAGATTCCGGGGATTTTCCTCTTCCAGCGATCGATCAGAAGGCTCGGGATCAGGCAAACTAAACTTGGCGGTATCGACGTTTCCCCAGTAAGCTATCATAGAAGCCTTCAACTTAGGCCAGTCCGGCGGCTCATATCCTTCCAAAGTCTCGACGACATCCAACAGCTCGTCCTTTGCGATGAAAAATCCTAGCTGTTGAGCCATGTCCTTCTCTGACGCTCCATCCAAACGCGCAGCTAGTTGATATTCAGAAAGAAAACGCTTGATGTTGCTCCCATTAAACGCTAGATCCTCATTCTGAGGCTTGATCTTGACCATAGCAGCTTCTCCTTCGTTGTCGGCCATTCTGTCTTGATTGATTGAACTTTCTATCTCTCCTGTGCCCCACGAGTAATAAAAAAAGAACAGAAATCCAACGATCTTGATCCAAAAACTAGGATGTGTCCTAAACCCCTTCAGTCCAATGTCAACTTTGAGGCGGAATAACTTTTGAAAGAGAAGTCCGATCGACGTGATTGCGGGCTCAAATGAAAGCTATGATCGAGGGCTATAACTTTGTCTGCGATCACGATGCTCAAAAACGGATTGGTCGCGAGATATTCGACGTCAAAGATAAGAGTAAAGAGATTGGGGATGTCAAGTTTGAGGTGGGATAACTTTGGAATGCGTGGTCGGATTTTGCTAATTTCTAGATCAAACGAAAGCCACGAAACGTCTCTATAACTTTGTCTGCGACCACGATGCTCAAAAACGGATTCGTCGCGAGATATTTGACGTCAAGGATAGGAATAAAGAGATTGGGAATGTCAAGTTCGAGGTGGGATAACTTTGGAATTCGTGGTCGGATTTTGCTAATTTTTGGATCAAACGAAAGCCACGAAACGTCTCTATAACTTTGTCTGCGACGGCGTAGAGCGATCCCCAACGGTTTGCGATATGTAGACGATCAAAGATAATCCAAGAAAACGTCGAGTGCCAACTTCCAAGGGCGATAACTTTTGAACCGTTCGTCGGATTTTGCTAATTTCTGGATCAAACGAAAGCCACAATTTGTCTCTATAACTTTGTCCGCGACTACGTAGAGCGATTCCCAACGGTTTGCGATATGTAGACGATCGAAGATAATTCAAGAAAAAGTCGAGTTCCAACTTCCAAGGACGATATCTTTTGAACCGTTCGTCCGATTTGGCTAATTTTTGGATCAAAAGAAAGCTACGAATCCGAACAACAACTTTGCCCGCGACACTTTCCACGAAAACGAACAGCGCGCGAGATA